ACAGCCACTTCTCTCCAGATGCTGGCTGCATGGCTGCCCCCTGCTCCTCCAAAGTCCTCTGCTCTGTGCTCACTGCCTCCTTGTGAACTGAGGTTGGGCGCAGCCCACGGGGTGAGGGGTGGGGAATCGGCCAGGGAATGGGGCTGGTTGTAGGAGGCAGCACAGAGCCCGCGGTGGGAGGTGGCGACTGGGGGATGCTCAGAAATCCTGGTCAGAATCTCCACTTACCTCCTCATCCTCAATGAACCTGCTTTACCTCAAGCACCAACATTCAAGGTTAAATAAAAAACGATTTCTACTATTTTACATGGCAAATAAACAGTATTTCAGGTATCTTATGGGTTAAACAGGCTTTTGTGGACTAGCCTGGGAACCTAACGACCATTTATAACATTTCTGCTATGGACAAATGTGTTCTGAGTTCCACATAACCAACTTACAAATGAACTTTTTGAACGCAACCCATTAGTAAGTTGGAGCCTTCCTGTATAGTACACCATTTTAGTAGATACGTGCTTGAATCCTCATAGGTTGTCTCAGCATGTTTATACCTGATTTTATGTTTGCAGGGAACGGAGCAAGATGTCCAGAGAATAATAAAAGCCTTGAATGAATGTCTTGAGGCTTTTCCCCAGGAGCGCCTTCTAAGAGTTAGTCGCATTGGAATTTCAGGGCAAATGCACGGGGTTGTGTTTTGGAAAACAAACCAAGGTAATGTTCATTTTTTTACATGTTTGCTATATATACTGTAGTGTAGAAGCTAAATGGCAGAAGCCATGAAAGATGGATCTGTTGATGTTGGAGATAATTTTTGGTTCTGGAATAATCAGTGGAAAATGGCCATCAAATGAGGGTTACAGGAGTCAGAGTAAGAAGTCCTCCAGCTCAACATTATTTCAGAATAATGGCTTGCAGGGGAGACACAAACTTTGTTATTTCAGAATGTCAGTTATTCTGAAATAATGCTGTCCTGTAGATGTACCCTAAGGCTACGTCTAGACTGGCATGATTTTCCGCAAATGCTTTTAACAGAAGAGTTTTTCCATTAAAAGCACTTGCGGAAAAGGGCGTATAGATTGGCACGGACGCTTTTCCGTAAAAACAATTTTTGCGGAAAAGAGTCCGTGTCAATCTAGACGCGGTTTTGCGCAAGAAAGCCCCCATCGCCATTTTCGCCATCAGGGCATTTTTGCGCAAAACAGTTTTTAGCTGTCTACACTGGCCCTCTTGCGCAAAAACATTTCCGGAAAAGGGCTTTTGCCTGAACAGGAACGTCAAAGCATTTGTGCAAGAAGCACTGATTTCGGATAGTAGAACGTCAGTGCTTTTGCGCAAAATCAAGTGGCCAGTGTAGACAGCTGGCAAGTTTTTGCGCAAAAGCACCTGCTTTTGCGGAAAAACTTCCCAGTCTAGACGCAGGCTTACTGTCTGTGGCCCAGTGAGTTGTCTGAATACATTCCAGTAATTCCTCTTCTTTAGAGAGCTTACCGAGTCTGTCTTGCCATGTTAGACTGACACTTTATGGAAATGTTACATAGCATTACCCATATTGAAGTGCACTGGAATATTGTTTTTAAAGATTCCCGTTAGAAAGCAGAATACAAGGACTGAATTTAAGTGAAATGTAATATTTTAACCAGTCAGATTTAAAAACAAAAGCAACAGTTCATTAAATGAAATGGTTTTCTGATAAGCCGTAGATGACACATGCACAATATTCTTATTGATGATGACTCCATGGCTACGTCTACACTGGCATGATTTTCGGAAAAGCGCGTCTAGATTGGCAGGATGCTTTTCCGCAAAAGCACTTTTTGCGGAAAAGCATCCGTGGCCAATCTAGACGTGCTTTTCCGCAAAAAAGTCCCGATCGCCATTTTCTCGATCGGGGCTTTTTTGCGGAAAACACTACTGTGCTGTATACACTGGCCCTTTTGTGCAAAAGTCTTTCGGAAAAAGACTTTTGCCCAAACAGAAGCAGCATAGTATTTCCAGAAAATCACTGACGATCTTACATGAGATCGTCAGTGCTTTTCCGGAAATTCAAGCGGCCAGTGTAGACAGCTGGCAAGTTTTTCCAGAAAAGCGGCTGATTTTCCGGAAAAACTTGCCAGTCTAGACACAGCCCATGGGTATAAGGACATGGAAATGCAATGCTGCATGGGTAAGCAGTTGTAGGCTCATCAACCAAATCAGCCGCTGTGACTTATTCACATATGCTCTGATTCTGCAAATACTCAAGTAAATGTGTAACTGCATGGCTTTGTGTACTGGACTGGGGTCTTAGATTGTAAACTCTGTAGGGGCAGGGATTATAATGTGGATTTTTCTCCGATACACAGGTATAAATCCATTGAGATTAGTGGTTCTGTGTGTTTAGTCTTCCCAACTCAGAATACATACCTATATACAATAATGCAAATATTAAATAATAATAATAGCTATTGTTGAATTCCCTAGTTGAAGGAAAGATTTGCTGTAGACCATAAAACTGACTTCCCGAAAGTACTGGTCATTGTTTGCCAGATATTGGCAAGATCTCAATTGCCTTAAGTGATCCTGAACTATTCATTACTGGCTGCAATTTTATTTTAAATACTAACTCCATCATCAAGGAATATATTGAAGGGCTGATGGATTTATGGGTCTGGTACTTGCTTTCTAGCTGTCCCATGAGGTCTGCGTAACAAAACCGCAGGAGTCCATCATCCACACAAATTCTCATGTGAAGGTGCTTAATATTTCATTTCAGAAAGCCACATCATTTTTTGTTTTAAATTTCTGTATGCAACAAAATGAAGGAGAACCTTTGTTTGTTCTCACTTTGATTAGATTAAGTGAAACTGCACCCTCTGTATTACAGATCAAATATTTTTAATGGCATCCTTTAGGGTTAGCTTTGTGGTTAATACTAGTTCTTAGAATCCATTTTAAAACTAGGTGCAGTGGAAATACAGTTGAAATTGACTTAAAGGAACAGCACACAAAGGAGAGGAAATGAGATAGAAATGGACTTTGGAAGCTTCACACAATACTTTACATTTTACACGGTTAGTTTACGGTTGCTTTGTGTGAGTGGAGTTCAGGTGCTGTACTGAATTTTCAATCCAGGCTAGTGGAGACAGTGGTAATTGTCGAATGATGCCTTCTGCCTGGCATTAGCTCCCCCTCTGCAAGTGTGGCTTAACTTCTGAGAGTGAGGGCCTCGCTCCCACTGTGTCTCTTTTATGCTATGTAAAATGGCTGGAGCTGCATAAAGGGTCTTAAAAGGCCTACATTTGGCCAGGGGCTGACTTCCCCCGCACAGGAACTGTGGAAGACAGCCATAAGGCTGCATTCCAAGGATTCCTTCCTGGCATTAGCTCCCCCTCTGCAAGTGTGGCTTAACTTCTGAGAGTGAGGGCCTCGCTCCCACTGTGTCTCTTTTATGCTATGTAAAATGGCTGGAGCTGCATAAAGGGTCTTAAAAGGCCTACATTTGGCCAGGGGCTGACTTCCCCCGCACAGGAACTGTGGAAGACAGCCATAAGGCTGCATTCCAAGGATTCCTTTAGGAATGGGGCATAGGAATGGAGCATGAGGATTTAGCGCTGTGGAGATTCTGGGCAGCTTTGGGAGACTGCCATAATTTAGACTGGCCCCTCCAGGTGGCCTAGGATTGAGAGGGTGCAAAGGAGGCTTAGGGACACAGCACAGAATCCTACCTTTGTATTTAATAGGAACAAGGTAGGGGTCCTTGGCAATAAAGCTAAAAAGAAGATTGAATCCACATAAATCCTAGTGAGAACATGCCATCTTTTCAGTGAGGCTGTGTTACCGAGCAAGGATGCCATGTACCCTTTACTACTTGGCGGTTATATATTCCTGTAGATGGTTGCATCTGGATCTATCAAGCAATCAGATAACTGGTACTTTGGATTAAAAACCAGGCAGCCATAGTATAATGGATAGTTGAAGCAAAATGCAGGACAATGTAGCACTTTAAAGACTAACAAGATGGTTTATTAGATGATGAGCTTTTAATAAACCATCTTGTTAGTCTTTAAAGTGCTACATTGTCCTGCATTTTGCTTCAACTACCCCAGACTAACACGGCTACATTTCTATCACTATTCTATAATGGATAGTGTTTGCATGCAGTTTTAACAATGGAGTGCTGTTCTAAGAGCCTACAGCCCCATTTCTCACTGGGTGTTGCATGTTTCTGGTGGATCATGCTGTCTAAAATATGACATTCTGCCTTATGTCAGTCCCTACCTGTGCCGGTTTGTGTGGATATTATGGGTAGCAGAAGGACAGAGCTGAAGTCTTTGGGCAGCATGGTTTTTTTCCTTCATCTCAGGGTAATGGGCTTTATAGTAGATTAGACAGGGCTTGAAAATATGCTTGGTTACTTTGACTCTAGTCCTGGTGTATATTTTTGAAGCATTAAATGTGTTTGTAGAATGATCGGAGTCACAGGAGTTGAGAGGTGCCAGACGAACTGCAGTTATGCTGTGCTTCTCAAATACTGCCTGTTTCAGGTTGCAAATGGGCAGAGAGTGGAACCGGTCACACCTTTCAGCCTGGAGAAGTCAGTCATCTGATTACGTGGCAAGATGGCCGCTGCAGCAGCAGTTTCCTCTCGTCTCTTCCTCAACCACAGTCACACCTCAGCTTGGCTACCGGATTTGGGTGTGCCACAATCTACTGGTATTTAAAGAACAGGTAGAAGCACTGTAACTTCAGCTGTATGCATTAGATTTTCTGTGTCCAGCTGTTTCATTACCATTCTTTTGTCTGGAATTAAAGCCACAGTGAGCGCTCTTTTAGAAGGTGAATACTATGTCAGGGTCAGCAGCTGTACTTCTTCCTATCTCTCAGAATGAACCAGCAGGAGGAGACTTGTGAGATGAAGCAGAAGTTCCTTTTAATCCTAATATTCTTTAAACGACTAAAGATAATTTCAAATCAATGCAAGAATTAAGCATGAACCATATACATCTAATTGAGGTTTGGGATATTCTCTCCTCCTTTTAGTAAAAAACTCCACAGAACACTTAAGAAAAGAACCATCCCTGTTTCTACATCATCAGTTAATACAATTTGTACCTTATAGTTGTATCTTAAGTATAGATCCTATAAAGATTTATGAAAATCTAAAATATGTTGGGAGATTTGCTTTGGGCCAGTTCCTTAAGGTGCTATGAGAATTGGACCCTACATTAGCTGCTCTTCCTTTCCTTCTTACGCAGTAAGCAGTCCTACCAAGCCTCTGATGCGGTTTATACATAATCTGCTGGTTGTCCCATGTTTTGCATGAGACATAGTTTTTCACTTACAACTTGCCTTCAGCCGTAGCAGGATGTGGAATCCACACATTTTTGCACAGATTCTGAAACCACTTCAACGTCAGTAAGTTATTACACTTCCCAAAGTTTTACCATCTTCCACATCAAGTAGGATTCAGTTTTGCTAAGAAGAAAAGGCTCTTTTGATCTTGCTTTCCTCCTAAAGTCTGTTTAGAAGATGGTATCTGAAACATGGTTGATCTCTCCACACTCATTTTTATACTGTTATTTTCATCCTTGGTGCTTTTGCTTTAATGTATATAGTGAGCACCCTAATTCAACTGGATGGAATTAAGATTTTTTTCAGATGCTTCAAAGCTGAGATGAGGACTTCTCTGTGCAAATATGCTACTGTTTCCCTTTTTATAACAGTTTTTGCAGCTGTGTACTTTGCCAAAGAGAACTGGTGTATTAAAACTGGTTTCCCCCATCTCCTGGTAGGAGTGAGTATTGCGCATAGTAGCACATTGTAAAACCAGTTCCATGGAAAAACTAGGACTTGATCACGGAGGTAGTCTTCATTGTTGGTTCTGTGCTGTTTTGATTTGGTACTCTGTGTGATTCTATTACTCCAAAGAATATTAAATACAATCTTGTCTTTCATAAGGGGTGCATTTACTGATGGGGCAGAGTCAATATTGTATTTTACTAACAGAGTCTTATGAGTTACTCCTCATTGTCTTTACTTCATAGTGCTCTGTGTCATTTGACTTTCATAGCAAAAATAAGAGTAGGAATTATACCTACTCTATTTCCTTTTATACACAGCTAGGAATTCAGCAATACAGTACTCATCTGCAACAGTGTAATTAAGTTTCATTGCAAAGTAACAATTCACTGAAGAACATTAGTCTCACACTTCAAATTTTTCTGTTTTTCTTCAATAAACAGCTTTTTTGTTTTCCCCCAGACACTCTCTGTTAAATCATTTTTACAGTAAAGCTAAAGTAGCTTAGTCAGAATGTTTGGAAAAGATCTAATTGGATTATTGGCCTCCAAACCAGGTACTAATGGAGGAACTGTGGTGTTGGAGGTAGACGCTAGAGATGGTTGAAATTTTTTGCTTGAAAGGTTTTTTTAATCAACAAAGAATGCTCTTTTTCTATCAAAACATATGTTTGCAGGGAAGTCTCGCTCTAATTTTTGAGTTGCCAAATGTGATTTTCCTCCCCCTTAATTCAGATTTTGATGTTTCTATACAAACAAAGTCTTGAAATATTTTTTGCAAAAACAAGTTTTTTTGTAGAATATTTTTGTGGACAGAAAAAATGTTTCTTAACCAGCTCTAATGGAAACTTTTTCCTAGGATTTATCTCTCATGCAATTAACATGTTTCCAGAAGGTTGGTTTTTTTGTTTTTTTTGTTTTTTGTTTAGTCATGTGTTTCAGGTTTTGTCCTGAATATCAACTATGACTAGAGACTGTTGGCAACTGACTGTTTAACAAAGCAGCTGTTTTATTTTTGTTTTGTTGTTAAATAGCCCAGATTTTCTGAAGCATTATGATGCAGCGGGTACCATCCATGATTACTTGGTTGCCATGTTGTGTGACCTGAAAAGGCCATTGATGTCCATCCAGAATGCTGCCAGCTGGGGATATTTTAATTGCAGAAGTAAAAGGTGGAATACTGAGATGTAAGTGACAGTTATCCAATGGATTTGGTGTGTTATCTGTCTCACATGGTGTGGATACTTCTGTATACTGTAAGTATGACTGTAGCCCAGACAGGAAGTGATTGAAAGCTGCTTTCTCAGATGGTTGTTTTGTGTAGTAAGATGACGGCCTGGAACATAAGCCCACGTATCATTGGCCTGGTGTGAAGGTATATTATTATACACTAATATAAAGCAAAGTGTAGCTATGAGCAAGAAAAAGGCCCCTGTTTATAGAAGTTGGCAAGAACAGAGCTGATGTTACAGAAATAGTCATACCTAAGAGGTACTAGGCACAGGTTGTAAATGTATTTCAGAGGAGTCGTACCAGAACACTTTGTGAAGAAACCTCTTGGTAGCAAGACCCTCCCCAGATACAGGAACATACTGACCCAGGTTCAGGACAGGGTCTAAACTGACAGCATGATAGAAAGTGATCAAACTCCTATGTACAAGGTGATATGTGGATCTAGGTATGTCAAAGGGTTGCAATCTGATATGTCAGGAATAGTGTGTAACTTGTTTGTGTCTGTATACAAAAATGTACCCCAAGGGAGTTGTCTTTGTCCAACTGAGGAAGATCTCATGAGTCGAGTCCGTTGTCATCAGCCACATTCTTAGCCTACCTGTAGTCATCTGATCTGGGGCTATTACTGAGCTTTGTGTACAATAAGCCTAGCGCCTTCGATCCTTATCTGTTTTTGTGGTCTTTGGGGGCTCTCTTAGCGTCTATTATATTAGCTGTGTAAGCAGAGCTAATAAAATATGCAGAAGGAGCATCCATATGCAGCCGAACAGTTATCACTGGACAAACCAAGAGACCTGTCAGGACACCACACCGGTGACTTCTGGCAACCACAGGTTGACCTGTGCGCAATGAGTCTGTGTGTCTCACTCCAGTTTGTGCTGGGCAAGGACACCATATAAAACCTCACTGCTGTTGGCATTCACGGGCATTGTCGTTTTTAGAAACCTTAAGAGAAGGTGTTAGTGGCTGGCTCAGGCAAGAGGCCGTGGATATTGAATTATTTGCTTCTTTCCTGCAGATGGTCTCCTTAGGGCATGGATGAGGTACAGCGGTGGGACAGAGTGGGTCAGCTTGCACGGGTGCTGTCCATGTTATATTCTATAAAGAGAATTTCTTTGGTATCTTCAGCTGAGCTCTTTAACAAGCATTTAAATTCACTTACAGTGTCATTTAAAGGTGACCAGGTATCTGATATGAAATGAATTTTATTCTCTCTCTCTTTTTTTAAATGACTTGCTCTTTCAAGGGGTGGAGTCCAGGGCTTGTACATTTCAGGGATCAATTTGGGCCATGACTCCAGGGTGAAAAGATCTTCCAACAGTGAAGGTAAAATACTTCCTAGCCCATTGAAAGCGTAACAGAAGCTTGGATTTGTCCCACTGTGCTTTTTCTGACGTGAAGTAGTGGTTGTAGTGAAGTGGTCTATAAACACATCAAGGTTTGTTTGCTTCAGGTGCTTTTAGCTAATATTTTCTGATTTGTTTTTGACCTGCTAACCCTCTGCATGGAAGTTCCCTGAGAGTCAATGATCTTTGGCATTGAAAACTGGTTATATGACTGTTGTTTTGATTGTCCCTTCCCATACTGCTTGGCGGTGTGACATCGGTGGTTTGAACATGTGGTGGTGCACATGATCCTGCTGGATCAAATCAAGTATAAATGTAGGTGGATTTATTTACCCTTCTGTACAAAGCTGTGTGTATTTGTAGCCAACACAGTCAATGGAACTGGAAGTCTGAACTTGTCTTAGACCAGTGGTTCCCAACGCAGTGTCCACTGGCGCCATGGCGCCCGCCTAGTGACCAGGGCTGGCCCGAGCCATTCTTGCGCCCCGGGCGCCCGGCGCATGTGCGGCCCCCAGGCGACTGGTAGCCCCATAGTCCTAGACAGAGCTAATTGAGTGAGCAAAAGATTCTGGAAATCCAGCAACCACAAGCACGTAGTCAGGTTAGCTTGTGACATCAGAAATTGTTCACATAAGCCAGTTTGCCTGCTCTCGTATTGACTAATCCACCTGTTTTGTTTTGTTTTTGGGTTGCAGTTTGAGTGAGTCTGGCTTTCCTGTTGATTTGCTTCCTGAAGTGAGTGAACCTGGTGGCATTGCAGGGAAGATGCCCCATGACTGGCATGGAATACCAAAGGGAACGGAAGTGGGAATTGCTCTGGGAGATTTCCAGTGCTCTGTTTATTCTTGTATGACTGAGAGATCTGATGCAGGTATTATTTTACAGTTGAGACACAACTCCAGTAGAACTTGGAATTATAAGCGCCACAGGAGGTTGTTTGTAACTCTGAACAACATGTTATGGTTGGTCTTTCAAAAGTTTACAAGTGAACATTGACTTAATACAGATTTGCAACGTTACTATGCAGAACATTGCTGCTTTTAACCATCTTCATTTAAAAGAAACAAGCACAGAAACAGTTTCCTTACCTGATCAAATCTTTTTTAAAAACTTTCCCTTTGTTTTTTTAGTAGTTTGTGTTTAACATAGTAGCATATTTGCCTTTTTTGGGGGGGGTCTAAGCTGCTGCCTGATTGTGTACTTCTAGTTCCAAATCAGGCATGTGGTTCCTCAGGTGTTCATAACTTCAAGCTTCCACTGTAAGACTTTTCCATAGGTTTTAGTTCCATTTTCTAGTAAGTGAGAGGACTAATTAAGTTTTCTGTTAGTTCCATAGCTGTTGTTCCTAGCTGAGAATTTATATTGTGCTCAACCCCATGGTGTGTGGATAACTTATTTTCCTTTTTCAGGGTGGCTTGCTAAAAGACTACATCTTATCTTTCTTGTGCCGTAGTTCTCAATATCAGCACCTCTGCTCAGCTGACAGTCCCCATGCCCTTGGGATTTCAGCCTCCAGACACACCCGATTCCTTGTCAGCTGTTGCCTATTTTCCCTATTTTGATGGTAACTATTTGGCAGTGGCAGCATCGCTCAATGGAGGAAACGTGTTGGCAACATTTGTGGATATGTTGGCACGCTGGATGGCAGAGCTGGGTAAAGTATTTTGGGGAGAGACGGAGTTTAAAATGGGAGCTAGTCAGCAAGATTGGAGGGACTGAGCCAAAGCAGCAAGTCTTGTACAGCAGTGGTTTTCAGTCTGTGGTTCACAGACCTCGGGAGGGGTTGCAAATGGTGTCTAAATTTCCCAAAGGGACTGCACCTCCATTGAAAAAATGTTAGGGGTCTGCATATGCTGTTGAAAACCACTGCTGTGTACAGAGTGTGTGATCCCACTGCAGTGCTAGAATTTCCTGCAACTATTAGGGGACAGACACACTGGGAACAACACTAACTGGAGCCTGCATTTTGACTGTCTGGGTTTTGTTTTTGTTTCTTTTCTCTTCCCAAGCACTTAAGTGAGTGAGACTATCTCTGCGGGTTCCATTTCAGAATCAAAGGAAAAATGATAGGTCGATCAATCAGAATTCAGTCACTAATTTCTCTGTTCATAGAGTTTAGAAAGTGTGACTTGATTATATTAATTGCCTTGAGTTGCAATTCTCACAGAACTTGAAATGCTTAATGGACTCAAAGAGCCAGATTTAGTGCAGTATCGTACAAGACTATCATGTCATTTCCCCAAAGTGCTTTAAAGTGTGTTGTCACAACTGCTTTGATATCCTTTGCTTGGGATGTCTCAGAGCAACAGTGAATTTTAAAATCCTTCCAACCAGCGATTGAGTGACCTTTGCACTGTCAGCACAGGAGGCGGAGGCTGTGCTGATTGCCGCTATTAAGAAAAGGTCACTAGCTGGTTAGTTTCCAAACATACAATATTGCCCTTACTGCTGCTTTTTCATTTAAATTAAGCCAGTAGCTAATGTTTCAGATAAACCTGTTCCGTTACCAGAACTGCAGTGTCTGTAATCTGAAGACTTCTTGGATCAAAACTATATTGGACGTGGAGGTTCTAATTCCTGCAGGAGTGATCTCCCTCGGGACAGGAGAAGCCAAATACAAAGTGGTCTGTTGAGCCAGCGCACAGCACTGGAACAGCACCCAGCATCATTAACATACTTTCAGTCTCCAGGTTTTGTCTGACAGGCGAAAGGGACCCCAAGCGGATAAAATCAGTAACACTATTTTCTTTTGGCAGGGTATGACGTTCTAGAATCCAATGTCTATGCTCAAATGATCAATGCAGCTTTGGCCCAAAAGGAGACCAGGCTCTCAATCTGCCCAACTGTATTTGGAGAAAGACACATGCCTGAGCAGATGGCCTCAGTGACTCATATCTCTGCTTCTGAGCTCTCTCTGGGTCACATAACCAGAGCTATGTGCCACGGGATCATTCAAAATTTGCATTCCATGTTGCCATTTCAACACCTGAAAGAGGCAGGAGTGAAGCGAATTCTAGGCAGTGGAAGTGCCCTTTCCAGGAATGAGGTGCTGAAGCAAGAAGTGGAGAAAATGTTTCCATTTCCGGTGGTCTATGGGAAGGATGTGGATGCAGCTGTGGGTGCTGCGATGGTGATGTTGCACAGAAGAAGTCCATCGTTCAGCGTTGTCTGACATTGCGTTTTTCTGGACATATCGAAACTTTCTCTTTCCTCCTCATTCCTGATGTTGCTTTTAATCCACCATCCCACTCAGTGTGAAGAAGAACAGCTCGCATTAATGTCCCTCTCTGATTCCACAAGTTCTTAGGGCTCTACATGCCCTTATGTTGTCATTCCTAACTCTGCAATGAGATCCAATTACTGTATGAGATTTGACTGTGCGAAGGGAAAAGATCCAGTAATTTTGAGTTAAAGATACCTCATCAGAGGCTCATTTTCCTATTAGAAAAGAAGCTTAGGATAGCTAAGAATAGCTAGGGTCTGTGGTAATAGCATCTGTAGCCTTTGTTAAAGATGTTTTGTGGTTAAACTATCTTTTACCCTACATATGTGCACCACAATGAAGCTGAGAAGTGCTACTGTAATACAAATAAAAGAATAATTTTCCATATCTTATAGATTGAAGAGTTTCTCTTTGAGGGGTTGAACATCTTTTTTGGGTCTTAAGCATATAGGAGGGAAGGTTATTTTTGCATAGGTCACTAAAGTATATTGCTGCTGATCCAAGTTTGATTCGTGACTAGCTTGTATAATGATTTTTTATATACATCAATGCTCATGCTTCAGAGCACAGATTGGTTACCAGCTGGTAGTCAGGAAGATACATCTCTCATTGGCTACGTCTAGACTGGCATGATTTTCCGCAAATACTTTTAACGGAAAAGTTTTTCCGTTAAAAGCATTTGTGGAAAAGAGCGTCTAGATTGTCACGGACGATTTGCGCAAAAGCACTTTTTGTGGAAAAGCGTCCATGCCAATCTAGACGTGGTTTTATGCAAGAAAGCCCCGATTGCCATTTTCACCATTGGGGCTTTTTTGTGCAAAACAGTTCTCAGTTGTCTACACTGGCCCTCTTGCGCAAAAGCATTTGCGCAAGAGGGCTTTTTCCCAAACGGGAGAGTCATTGTATTTGCGGAAGAACACTGACAATCTTACATGAGATCGTCAGTGTTCTTGCGCAAATTCAAAGCGGCCAGTGTAGACAGCTAGCAAGTTTTTCTGCAAAAGCGGCTGCTTTTGCGGAAAAACTTGCCAGTCTAGATGCAGCCATTATGTTTTAATGCATAGTTATTTACATTTATGTGTGAGGAGTTGAGTAGCCAGTTTGGGCAGAATATTTGATATTTCATTCAGAGCTTTTCTTTCCTTTGAGAAAAGTTATAGTAACCCTCCTGACCGATCCAGTCCCCTCCCCTCTTACTACAATGTGACTGAAGTACAATCAATTGCTGCTAGCGAGAGGTCAAACGTGCTCTAGTTTGTCAGCCCAAGAACATCCTTTCTAGTTTCCTTGATACGTTCTAATTTAAAGAGTTTATAATTCTGTCTTTTATATATTGGAAGAAACTGAGACTTGACATAGCAACTTGCAGGCTGGATTAAAATCTATCTTCAGTTTTAAACGTTGCTCATATGAACTTGCCAAAAGTATTGCCAATGTGTCAAGATCCTAATGCAGCTTGCTGATTATTCTACCTTCTCCTTTAAGGTGAAAGGGTTGGTACTGTTTTTCATCATCCAGATGTTGGACATGGAGAGAGGGAAGGAAATAAAATGATTCCATATTATTTGGTTACAACTGTATTAACCAGAAGCATCTGTTTTATCTGAAATATGGACCTGCATTTCCATCTTGTTCATTAGCAGCATTGGGACTGACTCATATCATATTAATGAGAAATCTGCTTCCTATCCCAAAGCTCTAAATCCACGGACAGTAATTACAGTGATGGATTAATTCCCAGCCTCCTCATGACCAATCTATTCCATGTGGTGGGTAAAGAGCCATTGGCATCATCGGGAAACATAGAGGAAGTGCAGAATAGTTGAAGATTATGGTAAAACACTCGATTCCGCAGCACTCTGTTTTCTCTTTGCTAGTTATGATGTATTTTTCCGTCAGCAGATCTTCTTTCCTTTTTCGAATGATACTTCCAGGGGCAAATAACATTTCCCCTTCAATAAGTAGGGCTTTGCAGGTGCGGCTCTACTAATCTTGAATCCAGCTGAGCCAGTTCCAGGGAGCTGATAAAATATGGAATATGGATCATTACTAGGCTTCATCAAAACAAGAATTTCCATAATAGACTCAGAGACTTTAGAGTCAGAAGGGACCATCATGATCATCTAATCTGACCTCCTGCATATTGCAGGACATAGAACCTCACCCACCCACTCCTATAGACCCCTACCCTCTGGCTGAGTTACTGAAGTCATCAGATCAGGGTTTAAAGACTCCACGTTGCAGAGTCCACCATTTACACTAGTTTAAACCTGCAAGTGACCTGTGTCTCATCCTGCAAAGGCAAAAATCTCCCAGTGTCTCTGCCAGTCTGACCTAAGGATAGAATCATAGAATCATAGGACTGGAAGGGACCTCGAGAGGTCATCGAGTCCAGCCCCCCACCCTCAAGGCAGGATCAAGATCCCTGACAGATGTCTATCTAACCTGTTCTTAAATATCTCCAGAGAGGGAGATTCCACCACCTCCCTTGGCAATTTATTCCAATATTTGACCACCCTGACAGTTAGGAATTTTTTCCTAATGTCCAATCTAAACCTCCCCTGCTGCACTTTAAGCCCATTACTCCTTGTCCTGTCCTCAGAAACCAAGAGGAACAAATTTTCTCCTTCCTCCTTGTGACACCCTTTTAGATATTTGAAAACCGCTATCATGTCCCCCCTTAATCTTCTTTTTTCCAAACTAAACAAGCCCAGTTCATGAAGCCTGGCTTCACAGGTCATGTTCTCTAGACCTTTAATCATTCTTGTCGCTCTTCTCTGCACCCTTTCCAATTTCTCCACATCTTTCTTGAAATGTGGCGCTCAGAACTGGACACAGTACTCCAGCTGAGGCCTAACTAGCGCAGAGTAGAGCGGCAGAATGACTTCACGAGTTTTGCTTACAACACACCTATTGATACAACCTAGAATCATATTTGCTTTTTTTGCAACAGCATCACACTGTTGACTCATATTCAACTTGTGGTCCACTATGACGCCTAGATCCCTTTCCGCCATGCTCCTTCCTAGACAGTCGCTTCCCATCTTGTATGTATGTATGGATAATTTCTTTTTACCCCAAACATGGTGATTAGGTAGACCCTGAGCATGTGGGCAAGACCCATCGGTCAGACACTTGGGAAAGAATTCTCTGTAGTAACTCAGTCTTCTCCATCTAGTGTCCCATCACCAGCTGTGTTTGTTAAAGCCCCACACAACTCTCTATTGTTACTTTTCTGTCTTCTTTTGCCACCTGATGAGGCAGGATGTTTGTTGGGGCTGTCCTAAGCATTTATGAGGCCCTATACAGTACTATTAAACTGGTGCCTCCATGTCCAACAGCAGCCGAGGGGGGAAAACGATTTTTAGATATGTGATCTTCCAATCTTCAGTAACACACTAATGAAATATTTGTAAAGCAAATTTTAAAGCAAGGTCCTGTTGACTAACACAGTACATTCAGAAACTGACAGCATAGACCTGGGGTTGGCAAATGCCTGTTAAATGGTTTCATTACCGTTTGAATGGCTCTTTCACAGGTTCTGTGCGCTGCTAATACGTCTGGCAGGCTTTTTGACTTTTAAGTTAACTAGAGCCTCTCCAGAGGAAGCAGAGCCATGGGACAGGAAGAGACAGGTAGGTTGGCATTAAGACTCTGTGGTCCCCCAAAGTTTTGGGTGCCCTACGCAACTGCATATTCTACATATAGGTAAGGACGACCCTGATGTTTGCAGAGCGAAATTAATTCCCATGTGCAGAGTGTACAGAACACCGAGGCAACATTTAAACCTTCACGGTGCCTCAGATGTACGTGGATCCCCTTGGGTAAATTTCACCCACATGCCGCTGCAAGTATACTGATAACTCTCTGATACACCCAAACCAGGTCCCTGTCCACTCTCATCCAGACCAGACCAGTATTTAGGACAACAGATGAGGCATGGGAAAGCGCAGAGACCTCAGGAGGTGACACATGAGCAGGGCAGTAGCATCTTGATGAGAAGGAGAGAGGAGGCCATTGATGCCCAGGAAATGGGAGGGGGGTTCCAAAAGTGTGCATCTGTGGAGCAGGAAGGGTTAGAGAAGTTCTGGAGCCAGGAATGGGACATGGGGACACAAGAAGGCCTTAGCAAAAAGAAATGGAGAAAAGCCTAGAAAGAGAGAGGGGAGAAGGAGAGACTTGGCCACAGAGCCTCAGGGGGGTCATTTTTTTGGAAGTAAAAGCCAGCAATAGGGCTAATTGAATTAGGCCTGAAAATCTAGCTATTGCAGCTGAAGCACTTAACTCTCCTTCCTCATAGTTCTGAAAAGCTGGATGTGATTATCTTAGTGAATAGCCCAGCATAATGTAGTTTACTGAATATTTAGTTCCCTGTGCATTGTAATGCTGTCGTGTTGTGGAGACGGATTGCTGTGAGTCATGACAGCAATATGCAGAGCAAGGATGAGAGGAAGTATGGCCCTGTGGTGAGAACACTAGCCTGGGACCTGGGACCCTGTTTCGTTGTAGGTTTCTTGGATAAATCAGTGGATCTCTCTATTGGCCTGTGGTATGACAGTCATGGGATCCATATCCATTGCTTAGCTTGAAAGCATGTTGTACTCGTTCTTAAGATTCTTGTTCTCTGGTTATTACTTGCGTTGTAGGTAAATCCTGGTAGGCTTGGAGCTTGCTGCTATTCTGCATTGTTCAGACACGGTAGGCCTGATTATGTTCTTTCCCATGCTTTCTCCACCAATTGATTCAGCAATTGTGAGCTCATCATACATTGGTGGCCAACAGCCATTCTGTTTCCAGGACTGTTCCTTTGGGTTATCTATGGAAATGTGGATTCTTGCATAGCAATCTGCTTGACAGAGACTGGGCTGCAAGATCAATTATGGACTTTATTTCCTTCGAGACGTGAATCTTTCCTATCGTGAATACTAGTGTCAATATTCAGGGATGGGTTTTTTGTTAATTGTTTATTTTTTTTCAACAGAGGATCGATTTTGAAGAAATTTTGCTGGGAATTTGCCTCTAGCGACTCGCTAAGCGAGACATAATTCGGACAAACTGCTGGTCACAGATTCCTGCAGGCAAGCTTTGGTTCTGCAGTCTTCCTCATATGTTATCCTTTTTTAAAAGTGTGGGTGTTGTCCCATCACTCCCTGTCCTCTTCAGCTGTAGCAAACTGCCACTGGCTTATTTTCATCCTGTCTCTCGTTTCATTCACTCTCCTCTGGCTGCTTTGTGGATATCCTGGAAACAGAAAGTCTCAGAGTGTCTGAAATCTGGAGATGTGTCTGCGAATGAATGTGGACACTGGGGTGCTTAATGCATCTCTTTTACGCTTGTTTAACTCCATTGACTTCAAAATAAATTGCTCCAGACGTACTGTTAGGCAAGCCAGAGCAGAATCAAACCCCTCTGCCTGAATATAAACTCAAACTATAACGGTCAGTGGTAGAACAGATGCTAAGTGCTCATCTTTCAGGAATGCACATATTCCTACAGGTTAAACCTCTCTAATCCAGTCCTCTCGGGACCTGACCAGTGCTCAACCAGCGAATTTGCCGAATCACGGAAGGTCAATATTGTCTAGCAGCATTACCAGCCCTTCCACTGCTTACTGGGCTCTTAGACAATATCTAGGGATAAATTAGAGCTAAGTAACAGCCGAGAACACCGAGAGCCAGGACTGGTGGCTGGAAACAAACTTTATGGGACTGAGGGAAAATTGGCCACGTCTGTGATAAGTGGACATGTGGCTCACTAAAATCTGCTGGACCACGGATGTTGCTGGAGCAGAGTGTGCCGGACTAGAGAGGTTCAATGTGTACAACCAGCTCTCAGAATACCTAGTTTTGTTATCAAGTCCAGCTCTGGGGATCAGTGGAGAAATTAATCAGAGTATTAGTGAGTCAGATGCTCAGTGTAGATCCTTCTAGTAACACCAGCTGAAGAGCTTGCCTGTTGTTGAATTATATGTTGTACCAGGTTGCTTTACCCTGGGCCTCTCCCTAACCCGGCACCTCCGGACTCCAGGCCCAGCAGCCAAATCACTGTCCCGCAGGCCCAGAGGCCGAATCACAGTTCCGCAGCAAGGGCTTGGGTAGGGGAGCCCAGGCCCTCCCTCTCCTCCGGGCCCCAGCCGAGGGGCCTATCAGTGGTGGGCAGTTCCCACCACTGGCTCAGCAGGGAGCTCTCCCCAAAACGTGCCAAGTCCGCTGGGTCACTTCCCGTGGCCTGCCCTGGGCTGCTTCCTTTCCCTCCTGAGGTCATTCCCAACTGAGTTGCGCTGCAGGCTTTTCTACCCGGGCTGCACTGGGAGCATGCCTGGCAGGGTCACGGGTAGGGTTGCCAGGTGTCCGGTTTTCAGGCCCAGTGTCTGGTATTTTCTGGATTTCTGGCTGGGCACTGGACGGAAGCCTGGTGGGGGCAGGGGAGTTGCTGAGAGGCAGGGGGCAATTGGAGCTGGGAGCCCTGGGTGCATCTGACGCCTTGGGGAGGAGGAGAAGCCCTGTCCCTGCTCCTGAGCGCGTGGTTAGGGTTACCAGGTAGACCCCCCCCAAAAAAACCCCGGACACACTTGATCGTGGGCGGGAAGCAGAGCTGGGGGGAGTTGAGGGCCGCGAGGCTGGCTGGGAGGAAGGGAGGGTGGGAAGCAGAGCTGGGGGGAGGGGTGCAGCGGCACTGGCCAGGGGAGATCAGGAAGAGGAACGGGCCAGTAGGAAGCAGAGCTGGTGGGTGGTGCAGGGGGGCTGGCCGGGGACGATCAGGAGGGGAAGTGGGGGAGAACCGGCCGGCCGGGAAGGGAGGGGGTGTGAGCAAATCGGCCAGCGCGGAGTAGGACTGACCCAGGCACTTACAGATCCCAGGGTACTCCCTGTCCCGCGCAGGCTCCTGGCGATGCACTAGCGAGGGAGGAGGCTTCCTCTCCTCCTCCTCCTTACACTCAACCAATGGGTGCTCCCCTCTACCCACGCCAGGCTTCCGTCCGGTGCGCAGCTGGAAAAATCAGAAAATACTGGACATTGCACATGTCCGGTATTGTCTGATTTTTTTTTACCAACAGAGAGCGCAAATCCTGGACTGTCCGGTACAACACTGGACACCTGGCAACCCTACGTGTGGTGGAGCTGCAGCCGGACTCACTTGCGCTTCTCCGGATCGTGTGCAGGCCTGACAGCGCCCCGGGATCTGCACGTGCCCGGGTCAGTCCCGCCCCCTCCGCCCCTTCCCCTTCTCCCCCTCAGATGATTGTACTGCTTCCTGTTTTTACAGATCCAATCAATTAGTTCTTTTTCACACAAACATAAAAACCCGTCCCTCTAATTTCAGATTTCCACTAGATAACTCTACAAGTTATGTGGGACAGGGAGAACAGACAGCCCTGTCTATGTGGAATCACAGTTTAACTAATACATTAAGAAATCCCAAATCCCCCCAAACCCTGCTTCCTCCCCCCCCCCCTCCCATCAAGCATGTCCGGTATTTTTTCTAAACCTACCTGGTAAACCTAGTCGCAGGGGAGGGACATATTCCCCCCCATAGGCATGCTCTTCTTCCCCTTGTTCCGTGCGGGGCTGGCCTGCCCCGTCACATATGTAAACAGGCATTTAATTTGCTTTGGATAAAACATCATAGGCTGTGAATGTCGTTACAATTTGCTGTGACTATTGCAGCATGCCTTTTCATACGTGCTCAGGCCATAGAGGGCCATTGTGATCATCTAGCATGAACTGCAGAATGCAGGCCAGATATTTCACCCAAGTTCAAAGCTTCTGGCAGGGGTAAAGCACATCTTTTAGAAATGCTTTGTCTTTCTAGCCCATTCCTTGATGTAGATATCTTAGGCTGAAGGACAGACTAATAAACCAGCTTGACATAGGTACGGAAACACTTCAAATATTAAAGCTGTACTAGATAATTCACAGCTGATTAAAATAAACAAGTATTATTTCAGTTAAATGTGGTGTGAAAACAGATTAATAAGATGGTGTTTGAATTTTTTTTTAATTGGTAGAACTCTGTGCGGCTACATTTTAAAAAAAATTGTATCCACAAAAATGAGCCACGGATAGAGGCAGCCATATCCAAGGGTGTGGATACCTGTGGACATAAAGTGAATATCTGTGGGTTTGCAGGGCTCTATTTATTGGTTATCAGCTTTCATCAACTCTGTTTAAAATCAAACTCTTCCTTTGATAGCATGTATATCCACATTATAATGACACTAGCAACCACCAGAAAGATGAACGATCCCATAAGAGTTACAGATATTCTACAAACTTTCACATTAAGTGATGTGTGCAGCTGAACCACAAAAGGAACTGATTTTCCCAGGCTGAATGTATTTGTGAAGAGGAAATCTGAAAAGGAGTGTTCATTGCTAAATGTAATTTGAAAAAAATACTGGAATTCTTGTAAAGAGCTTTGATACACTCTCGGGAATAGCTGCTATTGCTACTTCTGCTTCTAGTATAGTTCTTAATTATTATATTAGTCAAGTCCGTGTTCTTCTAGTGCACAGCCTCTGACTTACAAAACCATCAGAGTGTAGAACAATCCTGCAGACAAATTGGAGCAGAGAACTGTGTTGTTACTCCAAACAAATCACCTAAGAAGAGTAGACTCCTGAAGTTTATAGAGGAAAAAACTCCTGTAGATCAGAGAGTACTTACTGAGACTGGGTTATTTTGCAGAAAGTGGCATTTTTTGGAACTTTTGTAAGTCTTGCACGTATATTTGAACAGCATGCTTGTCCATTGTTTGTAAACTATTCCATGGTATTTATAAGAAGATGTGGTTCAGTTGGAGGCTGTTATAATCAGTATTGTTTTTTGTTGTATAGGATTGAATCTTGATATTAATTGGATTAGAAGAGCCCAAGTTAGGTACATTTTATATAGATAGCACATGAGAAATTTAAAGAAAAAATATCCAGTGAATGTTGAAGTCTCTTTTGGAATATGTTTACATCTTGCAAATTCAGACATGTATGAGGTTGTGTAGCTTTCCTGTCATTATTGAGGTTTCTACCAAGTGTTTTTTTAAAACTAAAGCCTTTGGATTGAATAAAACTGGCATATTGGCAAGGAGATGAGTGAAAGGCCATTGTGCTGCTGCCTTATTGGATCTATTCTGTGGAGACACAAAGGACTCCAAGATTCAGTCTGGCATTTTGTGCCAGATATATATTTGCTTAAAGGGGACATTTTCCCCCCTTCTTAACAAACAAACAAAAAAACTCCCCATAGCCTCATGATTATTTTGTTTGCCAGTCTTTTTCCATTCTTTAAACCCATTTAGAAAATGTTCCCTGAAATACTTGTTAAGTATTTTAATACCAAACTGTAAATGAAAAGTAATGTATTGCATTATTCTCCTTATTTGCAGAATAATGTTAAAGTATTAGGAAATTTTATGTTCTACTTATTTCAATTTATTTTTGTGAGGGGATCCACAGAACTGGAAATTTAAGCAAAAATGCAGCCCAGTGTTAAATTATGGTATTACGATGTCTATTTTGTTTGATTGTTGATGCTGTAAATGTACATTTATGAATATTTTAAGACTACTTAGAAACATAGTGGGTATAGTTATTGAAAATTCAAAGAGATGTTGAGCGGTTAATGAATCCTACTGAACTGAAAATACCCGATATTATTTTATGGTTTTGCTAACTCTCCACCCTAATATATTCGAAAGGAATAAAATAGACCTGAAGCACATTTGAGATTATTGGTGAGATATTATTTGTCTATATAATAATACTCAGCATAGGAATGTTTTTATAGCTCAGGGCACATTTTATTGCAGGGTTTCATGAAAACCTTATTTTTGAAGCATTATATTTTCCAGAGAATCTGGGATTTCAGGAAATGTTTCCTGCAAAAACATTCCGCACATTCTCAAATCTGTCTAGAGGGGTACAGTAAATTTCTTTCTTTACTATTGATCCTCCAGAGTGTTTTACATCTAACCATGATAGCAGCAGCAGTTCCTACCCGCATGTCACATTCTCCTTGATGTGTCGGTATTTGCCTCTTTTCCTCTTGATCATACTGCATGTATACTTGGCTGTTTGAAACACTTTAATAAGAAAACAAATGTAGAAATATCGTGACTTCAGCATGGCAAGATGGACAAGGCAGTGTATTTTATTGTACCTATAAAAGATATTACCTCATCTACCTTGTCTCTCTAACATCCTGGAACCATCCCGGCTACAACACCACTTCATTTTAGTGCATTTGTTGTCATTGTAAATCAAACAAGATCAAAGTGCTGGGCTTCCAAGATTCGCCTGTCCAGTGGCTATCTTTACTGGAACCAGTTCTCCAGTCTGTTAGCTCCATTATATCAGTTATACACCACTGTGACTCCATGGAAGTCAGTAAGTGGTAATTTCCCACGTTAGCTGAATGTCTATTGCTCCTATATTGCTGAGCAGCCCTCATGCACAGAAACATTTGTCGAGGCTCAGTCCACTGGCTAATAGATCAACCTTTGGAGTAATGGCCTTAACCTCTATCCACAAAAGATGAACTACTACCCATCTAGTTATGTGCTCTTAACAGGCCCGTCCACAAGAACTCAGCATCTTCTGAACAGTCCTGTCCTCCAAATCCCTCTCCGCCTCAGACCCTACAGACACTGGTTTCATTCATTTCTTTAGCACACCTCCCCTTGCCATCCCTTTCTCATCCGCTTTCCCTGCTGTTGGCTCCTTACTTAGTCCTGCTTCTCTGGATTGATACTTATCTTGCACTAACACAACTTACTCCCTACCCTTATGTCCCCTGACTCTCATCAGATGGGCAACGGTAGAACGAGAGAGCTTTGTGTGGGATAGCGGCGAGGAGTCCTGTGGCACCTTATAGACTAACCAAAGTGTTGGAGCATAAGTTTTCGTGGGCAAAGACCCACTTCGTCAGATGCATGTAGTGGAAATTTCCAGAGGCAGGTATAAATATGCAGGCCAGAATCAGGCTGGAGATGACGAGGTGGATCCAATCAAGGAGGATGAGGCCCACTTCTAGTAGCTGATCTGGAGGTGTGAATTCCAAGAGAGGAGAAGCTACTTTTGTAGTTAGCAAGCCATTACTGACCGGTGCAACTCCTTTCACATAAACAAGCGACTCTTGATTTATCATGGTCTGAGAACAGAGTTTGCCTTGTTGTTTCCAAACAGAGAGAGAAACTTACTTTGAACTTTAGTTATTCAGGTGCAAAGAGTTGTGAGTTGTTTTCTCCTTGCCAGGGTTCTATGATGATCTGAGGTGATGTAGTTTGCACACGCGATCCTGTGTAAGAATAATTTTCCATTTCATAGTTAGGCTTGTTGATTTATTAATCATTGTTGCTGCCTCTTGGCTGGATCATATCAGAAGGAATGTTGTTGTGTACTGATT